GCTCACCCTGAGGGGAGCGCATCCTCCTGGCGGGGGCGAAGAGGCTGGTGCACCTCCCTCCACCAGACGCCCCTCCTCTGCTTAGTTCTTTCTCAGGACATTTCCAAGGCCTTTTCACTGTTTCTCCTCTTGCTTCCTGGCTAAGAAGAGTGTGGGCCCGGCGGGGGTCCACATTCTGCACCTCTCCGTTGGCGCCTGGCCCCGGACTCCAGGGCTGAAACTAAGGGTTTCAGGGAGCCACCGCTCTCTCCGAGGAAGGGGGCGGTTGCAATTTCTCTCTGGGCAGGGGGCGGGAGACAAAACTTTGCTCTATGGGCAGCTTCATAAAAAGATGTCTGGGGGGGGAATAAGGGCTCCCGCTTTAGGATCTATGAAACAAACCTCGGGCTTTGCCAGCCCAGCCTGCATGCCCCAGTCCTTTTGGGGGATGCAGCCCAAGGTCCCAGAGCGCTGGGTTGTGGGGAGAGAGACCCCAGGATCAAAGATTTGGTGGGAGTAGCCAACCCTGGCCTCACTTTCTCTTCCCACAAGTTATTTCTTCATCCCAAAAGTTTGGTCAGGTGTTTTTTTCTAGCCTAGGCTTCACTAGTTATCTCCACTCAGGCAGTGGCCGCTATCCTTTCAAGTGTAAAGCACCATTTACTCTGGAATGAAGGGATCTTCTTCGTGTTTCTAGATTTAACTTAACACTATTTCAAACTAGAGAACTTTCCAAAAAGTAGTCAATTTAAAATAAACAGATGCTGGCCAAGAAACAATTTCTACCCTCGTGGCCAGGCAATCTTGTTTTTGACTTTGATAATTTGGGAATTGAACCAGAGAGGCAATGGAAGTCAGGGTCCACCTGCAAACCCACATTCCCTGGGACTCTTTCTGATGCCCACCACAAAGACCCTCCCTCCTCAAGAGGCCAGGGATAATTTTTTTCCTTCCCAATAAATCCAGAGACCCTAGAAGATCTTGTTCCCAAATCTCCTCCTTCTTGGTTTCTGTCCTGTTTTTAAAGAAATCTTCTTTCCTAAACTCTAGGCAAAAGGAATTTCTGTAACTGAGAGAAGAGTTTCAGGACTGGGGGTGGTGGGGTACTGGATCGTCCTGCTGTTGGAAGCAGTGTCTGTTTTCAGTTCTATTGGGTGACTTAGAGTAGAACAATCTGGGCTTTTGGTTCCCTTTAGCCCAGTCCCCTGTGATAGTGGACTTTGCAGGTATTTAAATTGATGTGTGGGGGCAAGTCCAGGAATCCCTATTCCAGGAACAGTAACTCAAAAGTAGACATGCCCTGATGTGGAGTGTGGTCTTCCTTACTCCTTTGCAGCCCCCAGGTCCAGCTCAGCAGCCCATCCCTGGGCCACTTGTAAGGACCAGGCTTTTGGAAACAGGACTCAAAAGAAGCAAGCAGTTCAAGAGAAAGTCGTTTTCCTGATTGATGAAACTTTTCCTCCCTCCTCATTCTAAATAATAAAACTCCCAGGAAAGGCTGGAAGGCTGCCTTGCGTTGGTTTCAAATAAATCCTGAACAGGCTCTTTCCTCACTCAGAGAAATGAATCACACTAGGGAAACAGATGATTATTCCCTCATTTGTCTGCCCCAAACCAGCACCCTGAACTGTAGATCCTCACTTTGGTCTTTCTCCCTGGACGAGGGATTCATGATAATGGAAACATAAAAAGGTGGGGAGCAGAGTGAGTCAGATAGAAGGGGACCCACTGAGGTCTCCCAGAGAAGGGCAGCACTGGGCTGGTGTGGGGCCTCCCGAAGGGCAGGGTGAAGCTGTCCCAAAATGCACCCTCTTGGCTGGATCCTGGAAAGAGATCATGGGTGTCAAGCATTTGTGAGAAGATACAGCATCTAATTCAGGGACAGAGTCTGGGGCTGTGTATTTCCAGCACGGTTCCATTTTCCCCTGTAGGAAATAGCCACGTGTGCTGTTAGAGTTATCACTCAAGCTTGTTTTCCTGTCCTTTTAAAACAAATAATCAAAACTTCTTCTAGATTATTCTTGTTGATACAAACAATTTGGAAGTGTTATTGGGATGGGGAATGAGCTTGAGAGAAAAGTAATTGATTAAAGTGACCCCTATTTGAGCCTCATTTAAACGAAGATGCCCCATGTATTTGGCTAATCAGAACAGCACTCTTCTAAAGGGGGAAAGAAAGGAGAATTCTAGCTATAAATCTTCAAGCTTCTGAGAGTTGGACAGTCCTTTGCCTCCTGGAGCTCACCTTACAAAGCAAAGAGGCTTCTCTTTCTCTGCAGGCAGCTGCCACGGGGCAGGCAGGCAGCAGCGTGGGTGCCTGAGGATTTTATAAGACCTGCTCTTTGTTGACTTCTTCAACACATACTGGATTTTAACACGGGACTGGAAAGCAAGGTTGATTTAAAGTAAAATAACTGAACTTACTGCTTCTCTCTCATTGGTTGCCAACACTGCCAACACTGCCAGCACAGTCACCACTCGGTCCCTCTCACTTCCTTCCACTTTGTGTTTCCAGGTTACTTTTTAAAATCACAACTGCTGAGCTTATGAGGGTGTGATTACTGCAGAGAAAGAAGTGGAAACAGTGAAAGACTGTGACTATGGATCATGCTCCATTTGAAGGATATCTCGTTGCAACAGTAGCACCAATTTATCCATCCACTTTATTTGTCACAGACCAGAGAAAAATCTTCTTACCCTCTCCATCCAATTCTCTCACCCACACCCAGAAACACTTCACAATAGGGCCCACAAGTTTCCTATTCCACTGCCTCTGTGTTCTAAGATTTTAGTCAAAGGCAAAAACCAAGATTTAAAGGTTCCTTTTTATTTGAAATCTCATCCAGAAACACTGGTTATTAATAAATATATCATAGTTATCAAGAATATATAAAAAATAAAGACAGGTATTGTCTTTGAGGCCCTAACAAAATATTTCAAGCAAATGTTCAGGAAAATAAAAAGAGCACCCCTCCCCAAACCACAGCAAGCTTTCAAAGCTGCTAACAGAGAGAGCCAGAGACCCTGCATGCAGAAAACTGAGCAAGGCGGGTGGGGCAAGGTACTGGATAGAGTCCAAGCTTTTACAATCCAGGCCCCCAGAACAGCCAGGAAGGATTGGAGTGAAGTTTGCAGGGAGTGGGGTTGGGGAAGAAGCACGCGTGTGAGTGTGAGTCTTTGCACTCTGCCCCCGTTCATTTCATACAACCACAAACAGATACATGGAGGACTTCAGAGAATTCACTAATAAATCCTTGTTACAAGGAAAATGGCACCGCGGCCTGCACAACATGGTTAGACAAGGTTCATTTAGAGCCTGCATGCATTCTTGTGACCTACACTTCGTGGAAAGAAAACCCACAGAGGTGTCATGCCTTGGACCGGAGTTGAGATTCAAAACTTGAGACTTCAGACTCTCTCTCTCCCTCTCTCTCTCTCTCTCTCTCTGTCTCTCTCCATTGTCTCTAGAAAAACTATGGCAAAGCCAGAGACATCCCTAACTGCACCCACCTCAAGGGTATATTTACAATTTATTTTGCACAAAAGGGATGGCCACCTTTTTCTGAGGTGAGAACACAGAGCCAGAGAAAGCCAACTCAGAAAGTTCCTTCCCAAGTTTTTAACTATACCGATCCCATCTTTATACAACAAATGTGGTTTCTGACAAGAGCATATGGCAGTGAGAAACACTGGCGCGGCAAGGGGAGAAGCAGCATGCATGCAAACACGATGTCTCGTCGGAGTCCCCTTCGCTACCACCTAGAAATGGCAGTTTGGTTTTCGTCCCTTCCCCCCACCCGGGGGTCCAGTGGGAGCCGAGAGCTCTCGGCTGCTTGGAAGGCCGCGGACCCCTCAACCTCAGGCGGAGGCCCCAGCCTCCCTCGACCGTCCCTGCCCCGGGCCCCTCCGGTTCTGCCCTCGT